GGGCTCATCAGGTAGGCGCAGTCCCCGGGTTTCCGTCAACCTTATGTTCTACTTGAAACCAAATTGCACGAAATTAGCGAATATACACTCATTTGCAAACTAATTTGGTTCTTTCGAGAGATTCGCCTGGAACCCAGCTGAATCTCTCGTTTGTGATGTCTCGAAGAATTTTCAGTAACCTCATGAGTAGTGCATTATGAAAGGATCCGTGTTAGCGGCGTTTAGTGCTGTCTGTCCGACCTATCCGATTCGACCACAAGACCACTGGTTGTCGACGATATCGCCGTCCATGATCGATGCCAAAACTCCATACCCAACAAGCAATGATCACGACGGCGCTCAAAAATCCCTCAAACGTTAAGTATTGTAAAGTCTAAGTGAGGACTGGGAGTTCTGGCAGACATTGAAAGCTCGGGAGATGGAGAAGACTTTTGCTACCGGAAACAGCCTTGCCCTATATCAACGGATACGATCGACTGACCCTAGGAAAGCGATGGTCAGTGAGACGATACGTGAAAAAGATGGCTCATCAGTTCACTCGCAAAAACGTCGACTGGAAAGATGGGCCGAACACTTCGAAGAACAGTTCAGCTGGCTTCTCGCTACACAGCCTGTAGAGATACTGCATACGGATGAATGGAATGTAAGTCCTAATCACCCGTTGGAAGAAAAAATGAAGTACGAAATATCCGGCCGTTTGAAGGTCTACGGGAATCTCTTGCCTGAGTTCACCAAATCAAGAGGTGTCAGACAGGGCTGCCCTCTTTCACGTTTCCTCTTCAACTTCGTCATTGATACGACCATGGAAGGCTCACTATCAGCCTCTAATGTCTGGGGACCCCGAGACGGGCCACATCAGTGGTTAGAGACATTGTCAGACAGGGCCCAGTCGCGCCCTCAATGGCACTCATGCATCCAAGTTGTTGCCTTCAATGCATAACTCCCTTCCCAACTCCCTCTACTTAACAGTGCTGTATTTACTCACTAATTTATCAGCTCCCGCCTTCAATGCGCGGCTGTCTACCCCACCTCCACAAATCATCGGTGAACGAAACTGTGGCAGCTACAGCCGCTGTACGACAAGCACGCGGTTCATTCAGCCGACAATGATGATGATGACGATAAGGCTGGTGACTTGTTGCCATATAGAAGCCTTTTTAAAATTTTGCTGATAGTGGAAAACTTGACTATCCTTCTTGGATTTTGCCAATGAGTCGAATCTGTTGTGCGTGTGACCACTGATAAGTGGCCTGATTATTGTTGCTAATCTTTTACGGATCTCACGATAGCCTATTCAATATGGAACTGTTGGCCTCGAGGTTCTTTATTAGTTGGCAGTGGTCAACTGGAAGTAGGATTTTTTGGTATCCAACCTTATGTTTGCTAATTAACGTCCGCTCAGCTGCCAAGTTCATGGCATGATAATTTCCATATCTTGATTCGATGAAAATTTTCCAGGGATGATATCCTTAGTTGCCGAAAATCAACGGCTGTTCATTAGAAAACCCCCTTCAAGGTGTTTTGAAGCTCGTGTGCCCTCTATACGCATTATTTATGGTGCTTTTACGCAAGTTTTTGTTGAACTTCTCCCAGATGATAGTCATGTTACCACGTCCCATCATTTTTTTGATAGATCATCATACACGAGTCTTGGAACAATGAGTTAGGACATTACAATGCCCGGAGTGACGTAAACGGGAAGCCTTGGACTCCACGTTCCCTTTCAACGGCAAGTCTTTTACTCCTATTTTGATGGTTATGGCGCGTGCCCCATGAACGAGTTCTTGTTTAGTTGTTGTGGTCCAGTGCGTACGCACCAAATGTGCTCATTTACTTTTTGTCTGTGCTCGCTAGAATTATTGGTACCAGAATACCGAATCTTTGCCAAAAATTTTACCAGCCGAGCAGTAAAACAGTAAGAACGTCTGTCTCTTGGTGACGAATTACACTTTTCGCAAAATGGTGACATAACTAGTAACGCTTTCGGCATTACATTAGTGTACGAGACAACTTAAAAGAGGGCGACGATAAGTGTAGGAGAACGCTAGGGCTTTGTGCATGCCGATCAGGTGCTTTAATCGAAGGATACCATAAACAAGGGAGTCAGATGAATTTGACCCAAATGCCCATATTATCTTGCAAATTAGTATAATCACAACAAACATTATCTCACTTTTGATATCAAACCGTGGCAGATTCTTCT